TTTTTTTTTTTTTCAACTCGCTAACGTTATAATCGGAATCTCCCGATTTTGCCCCGCGTAATTTTCCTTTCTTCCTTGAAATTTCCGTGCATTATTTTGAATTATTTTTCAATAATAATTCGAATGCGAAACGAGAAAGAAAAAGAAAAGAAAGCTGTTTTTATTAACATTAGCAATTCTTCGAGAAGATAAACACGTCTTAATACGGTAAAGTTGAGAAATCATGTATTTCGTTTTTATCTCAAAATTAAGATAATACGATAAATTCAATTAGCACTTGCACACACGCTGCTCGTGTTATTCGAATCATGATTTGTTGGAATTTAACGGTTTACATTTCCAAAACTGAACACACTGTACGGCATGCTCGCGTGTCACGTTCAGTAAGTTCATATATATAAGATAAGATTTTTGACATCTTTGTTTATTAAATTAGTTGATTTTAAGACGACAACGAGCGGGAAATGGCAATATAACTCGTATTTCAACGCGAAAAGGATCTTAATTTCATTATGCCTCGGCTAATTTCTATTTATTCTCATCTGTTTATCCCATTTAGTACGTCAGTTTTAAGTGGCTCTAATTCAAAAAACTCATTCATATAAAAGAATAGACAATCCTCTGTGTAATCTACAAAAGAGCAAATGTTATTGAACCCCTGTTATTTAACAAAAAAATTGTCACTCTCGATGAGTCATTGGCACAACGGTTAGCTTGCCTTTCGGATAAGTATAATGATGAAAAAAATAAATAAGATTTAGGCACGATAAAGTACGATCGATGAACGACGTGGATAGAATTGTTAACAACTATGAAATTATCAATATTAAAACAGATATTGATCCAGTTTAGTCCCTCGAGGACAACAACACTATATATTTTAGAGTTAATCATCGTATTATGGACACAAGATGAGATTTATTTTTCTTCAATTAACGTTTAATATTTGCTTGTGTACGCTTTGAATCAGTATTCAAGTGTGTGTCAATAAGTACAATGCTCAATAACTATGANTTTTTTTTCGATTTTTTTTTTTCTTTTTTTTTTTTTTTTTTTTTTATTTTTTTTTTTAATGTATGTTCTCTGGATAAGTCTATCGATAATAATTTATTTCTTTTCTCAAAACAAAAATTTTTCCACGCAATTGTCAATAATGCATTGATCAATAACGATATTGAATTATCGTTAATTTATGTTCAGCCTTGAATAAAATTAAGCGTCTCATTTCGTTCGTTCAACTTATTATTTTATTTGAATGGATAAGAGTTTCTCGGCCCTTTTTAATGACCATTATAAATCATTATATCACGGTTTCATATTTTATTAATTTCATTTTCTTTCCTGATAATTGAAACATCACAATTCTAAATTCCAAATTGAGTAGAAAAAAAAAAAAAAAAAAAAGAACAGACTTTTTGTTTTTCTGCTAATTTGTACGATTAATATTAAATCAGTTAAGATTGTCATGTATAATTATTTCGTCTTATTTTTTCGCCTATTTGAAGTTTTTTTTTAAATGTTTATTCAAATTTTAAGATGGAAATTTCGATCGGTAGAAATTTGTATCAGATATTACATGTATGATAATTTCGTTTAACGGAGTTTATGAAATATCATTTTTGACACACAATAGTAGCGATAAAGTTGTTATGAAATTTGCTTTATCTAAATTTGCACATATTATGAAAAATAATTTAAATAGATAAAGCATGTAAAGTCAGGTATAAATTTTTGTCCATTGAGGAGAAATAAATTATCTAATTATATATAGGTGTATTTATTTCAAAATCTTTTACGAGTGAAATTTTAAACAGCCGCAAGAAAATCGCGAGCGATTAAATGTTTCGCAGGAGCCATTGTCATGAAAGTCGCTGAGAAAACGAAACGTCACGAATTGGTTTCTAACCAGGATGTAGGTTAATGAAGTTGTCACGCTAGAAATCAATGTCAAAACCGTTTCACTTGCGTGGATTCGCAATGAATGGGGAAAAAATAATAATAATGAAAGAAAAAAAGACCAAGGAAAAAATTACAGTCGAGCGAGAAAAAGAAAAAGTCCACCGTCTGATTAAACGTAGAATCGTTCTTCCATAACGATATATAACAACGATATAATCAAACAATAAGAAGATCGAAAGTCGAGAATATTCATGTTTCGAAGAAATCAATTCGCATGGATCGACAAAGTTGGTTAAGAACGAGAGACATGGAACAAAAGAGGAATGAGAGAAGAGCATGAAGGGAAGATTAAAATGGGGGGAGAGGGGGGAGGGGAAGGATCGCTTCGTGTTTCGATCGATTGGATGATGGAAGCACGATGATGTGATCCGGGTACTCCCCTGGAAGCTTGCCTAAGGGGAAATAAATTATACATATCCTTTCGATGGGCAGGTGTCAACGAAAAAAATGCCACATCGCTTCGGGATACACGCCTCTTCGTTAACTGTCGTGATTTTATTTTATTAAAAAAAATTTATTTACTTTTTTTTTTCCTCATTTTTTTCCCCTCTTCTTTTTTACGCTTAAACTTGAACATAATTTATATGTATAAAAAATTGTTTTTCGAATTTCCATAAAATTCTACGTCTTTTTATTTCTTTTCA